GAAAGGAAAGGAAAGGAAAGGAAAGGAAAGGAAAGGAAAGGAAAGGAAAGGAAAGGAAAGGAAAGGAAAGGAAATAAGGTAGTAAGGAATAGTACGAAAAAAACAAAAATAAAAAAGGAAGGACACACAAAGAAAAGAAAGAAGAACAGTAAAAAAACAAAGAAAGGAAAGGAAATTAAAGGAAAGGAAAGAGTCCTCTGCAACTTCTCTTAAAATGTTTAATATGCTTAATTGTATGTATTTTAAGTATGTCTGTATTACCTGGATGTAGTAAACACAGCATAGATCACTGGATTCTTTGGGTCTTTAGCACTCATCAGAAACACATCCTCTGGAAGTGAAATAAAGAAACATTTGGAGTTATTAAAAGTGGATAAACACACCTTAAACTCTACTGACATCTGGAATGTTGCAATGGAAGTTTATGGGCCAACTGTTGCAAGTTTGCCGCATAAACTTCCATGTTTTTTACAGCTTGAGGGATGAGTAGAAATTGTTTCCAGTGGTGACAGCATACCATGGATGCTGTCAACTTAACTATTTCATGCATTTCCCACAAGATTTCTTTAAAGATGCATTTCTGACTTTATATTAAAAATAACTGTTCATATAATTATGTTCAGACTAAACGTTCATAGAAATTCCTTACGCAGTTCATCAAAATGTGTGTCTATTCCACTGAGGCTGGGAACTGAGCAAGTCAGCTTGGCTTTCAAAAAGGTTGTCCATTTGTTCACGAGACTCCTATGTCCACCCATGTCATTCTGGAGAAAATGCAAGCAGATTAGTCACATCTTCTTTAAAAACCACATAAAGCTTTGAATACTGACATTATTATGTTAATACTGTGTGTCCAAATGCACTGGAAAATGTGCATGATTTATGTTTCTGTATGTGATGATACCTTACACAGTTGTCCTATCCTGGAGATCGTAGCTTTGCCTGTATGTTCACCATCCATGGCGTTCTCTTTGAAGAACAGGAAGATCTTGTCATCTTCAGGATTATCGCTCTCTGGGATCAGGTGTATTCCTAGAAACCTGGGCTCTGGAATACACACAATGCATCAGAACTTCAACTTCCACAAGACTGAAAGAAGATACAGAAGAAATGGAGTTGTTTAAAATCAGCATTTTGGGAAGTTCAAACCCACAGAAATGACCGCACACTTCATTGAATCCCTTTTAGCTGTTCCAAAATGAGCCGAGACCTCAGTATTGCCAGTTACAGGGGGATCACTCTTACCCAGCCGTGACCGCTCTCTCTTGCAGAAATGAAATGTAACACGCCCCCCACCCACGTGGGCGGCACACGCTTAAAGCAACATGCAGTGCTGCATTACGGCCCAACAGACCCAACAGGATGTGAAGCTTAAACAGCGGAACGAACATTTACCAAAGTGAGATCCGTTCATGCACTGTGAGTGTGTATGTGTCCGTGGAGACGGCAATGAAACAGTGCCGTCTATGTCATTCAATACACAGACAGTTTCCCAAAGACATTAAACTTGTTCCAGCCAAACTTTCGAATGTTTGCTCTGTAAAGGCTGATACTCTTTGAAGTGCGGGAGGAACCATCAACAGCCATCGGCTTCATTGTCTGAAGATAGCGAGAGGCCCATGTTTCTATTGATAAGGCTTGATAGAATATCCATGTGACTAATCCTCCAAACGACACTGGCTCTTTTGTGTGAGAGAGACAGCTTTCAGAGCGGGCGAAATAGAACTAACGTCCGATGTATCCGTGGTAACAGACGGCGAGGATTAAGGTGAGATGAGCGTTTTCAAAAGCACATTTCCTCACGAATATAGGAGGGTATTGATGGCATGGACGCTGACCCTGTGTGAGGACTGAAACGAGAGCCACTCGCAGGAACAGCTGAGACTGGATTAACTTCATGGGAAAACACTGACTGACTTATCTTGATATTGACCTTTTGTGTTCCATAAGTCTGCAAAAATGCAGGCGGGATGTTAGAGGAAACACTCAACACCCAGGCTGAGCTAATCTCTCCTGCAGACGTTCACAAAGAGGCTCCTCTTTCTCTCACACAGATACGGGCACATACACATTAATGTGAAGGGACATAAACTTGTGCACACAAAAGAAAACCCATAAATGTACATTTATTTCACACATTTGCTCTTGGCAGACACATGCTTAGCAAAGTATCATATACTGTGTGATGATTTCACCAGGCAGCTAAGGATAGAAATTGAGTGCTAGGATGAAAATCATAAAGGGTCTATAAAACACATGGACAGACACTTATGCAAGCATATGTCTATACAAAGGGTCTTTCTGAACTCCTTAAAAATACAGACTGAGACAATATTTCAACTAGGAGTGGGCAACATGACTAATATCTCATGAGGTTGAAGCAGAATTAACTGTTGTGCCTCTCCAAACAACACACATTAATTAATAACTCAGCGGTTTTGAAAAAATCAGTAAATAAATTAATCTGTGACTCGCTCATAGACAGTCACTTGATATGTTCCTGAATTAATCAGCATTTTTGAACAAACTAGTTGAATGAATCATTCAATCAATGCTCATTCCTGAACAAATCAGCCGTTCTGAACAAATTGGTTGAATAAATGACTCAGTGACTCACTCATAAAGACAAATACTTAATTCGTTCTTGAATGAATCAGCATTTTTAACAAATGTATTGAATGATTAAGTGACCCCCACATAAAGACAGTCACTGGATTAATTCCTGAATGAATCAGCATTTTGACAAATCAGTTGAATAAATGATTCAGCAAATCACTCATAAAGACACTTGATTAGTTCCTGAACTGATCCAAATTTTTGAACAGATCCATTTGACTGAATTATTTAATCACCTGCTCACAAAGACGGTCACTTGATTCATTCCTAAATAAATCAGAATTGTTTAAAAAATGAGTTAAATGAATAATTCAGTTACTCATAAAGACTCACTCATTGAACAAATCTGGTGAAAGAATGATTCAGTGATTTACTCAAAGAGTCACTTGATTCATATCATGGTGTGCATTTCTATCTCAATGTAAACGTGTATATATTCAATAACCAGCCCTAAGGTGTTCAGAATACAGCATTTTTACCATTCAGCCATCTAGAATCATGCTGCTCAGTTCTGATTGGATGATGTGACCCAAGTGTTCGGAAAATGGCAAAGTCTCGTCCCATGAAGTCTGCTGATGTTCCAGAATACAGTTTGCCATCTGACAAATAAATAAGAGCATGAAATCTCCAATCAGTTAACACTTATTCTAAATCTTTAAAACCAGAACAACACCATCTCTGACTAACTCACCAATCAGGAGGGATGAGGACTGCATCTTTGGATCATAGGGACTTTTCCCACGTCCGTTCTCAAAGTAGTTGGCATCCAGTCTGAAGATGTTGTCCTGAGCAAAGGGATAATGAATTAACCAACCACAGCAAGGCATGAATAGTAAACTGATGAGGTAATGGAGAGGTGAATGTCAAAAAGTGCCAGTGAGTCTCTCAATATTCAAAAAGTAGTCACAACGATGCTGTTTTTGAAGAAAAACATTCATAGAAACCTACTTTAGATTTGGATCTCCAAACTCACAGCAAAAAAAAAAACAGCACTCAATTTATCTTCTATTATGTTCAGTGCGCTCAGGCCATGATTAATCAAATCTTAAAATTCACTGACATTTTTCCACCATGTAAAGGCCATCTCATTACCCACAGTTGAGGTACTTCTAAATAACACACTCGTGCTTTGTGACGCTCTCATTTTCTACTTCACTGGGCCGAAATTGTTAACAGGGTAGACGTTAGCAGCAGATAGCCACCATTCATTTCCTTTTCATTCCTTTATAAATGTTTTGGTGAATGTGCCTTGGAGATATTGTATGTATGTTCATGAGCGCGCGAGTATGTTTTAATGCCATTGCTTTCCTGAGATTGAACTGGACTAAGAGAATTAATTTGATCAATTATTAATATCGAGTGTGTTGTGTACCTCTGCTCGCTTGCCTATCTCCAGGTAAGAACAGATAGGATGGAAAGCTCCGGTGCCACATATGTAAATATGCGTCTGGTTATACGGCTGCAGCACACGCACAAAGTTTGAGCATTCTTTCTGAAAAAGACAACATAAAAAATATCTGTTAACCAAGATAATATAAAACATGCCTATTAAAAAGATATTGTATAATATACAAATTAGATGGAAATCAGACAAAAAATAGAAATGTATTTATTATATTTTTAATAATAAAATTAATTATTAAATATTTGTATTTAATAATAATAATAATAATTAATAAAAACATATTTAGTGATCAGAACTTGGCTATGGAACATTAAGCAACCACCCAGTACACCTTATCAACCTACTTTTGCCTAAGCAAGAACCACACACATTTTCTTCTAAAAATGTGAAAATAGTTTGTAAATATCATAATTTCTCTCTTTCAGACTCTCTGGTTCTGTATAACTCCTCTAATGCAGTTATTTTACATTTATGATTCATAATGAAATACTGCACATACATTTTGAGAACATCTAAATTGACACAAGATCTGTAATAAATAGGTAAATGAGACATTTCAAATCTATGTAAGCCTAATATTTAAGCTTTTAGTGTCATTAAAAAGCCTTTGAGTTCCTGCCGGTTGAGTGATGACGATCCCACCTGTTTTATCCATCTCAATATCCTGTCAGCCAACTCTCATTAGCGCTGAAAGTGTGTGTGTCTGGTTTTGATGAAAGGTAAATGTATAGCACATGTCTTAAGGCCATCTGAATGAGTTGGCGAGAGCCGATGAGTGAATTGTTTCATGTGAATGAATGCTCTTTAACTCCCTTTCATTTGCAAGATATGCGAGGACCAGGTTCAACAATAATAAACTGACACGTTATAAACACACTGCACGAACAAACACACACCTATGCACACGCACACACCTTTCCACAGCTATTGAGAAAATAAAGCAGGTCCATCTGTGTAAACACTGATGGTCTCGGCCCGATGTGTGCCGTCTGAATGAGAGTTGTCATTTAAGAGCACAGGAAAGGGTGTTGCCATCTCTGTGTGTGTTTTCACCACAAAAAGACACATACACACTCTTATTCAGCACACGTGTTTGTGTGAAGAAAGCCAAACAGAAGAATAGATAAATGCAGGCCTCTTTCCCTCGATTACATCCAGTTCAGTTCAGTTTGAACAAGCTATTCAAAGCAGATAATAAATGCTTGTATAAGGCTCAGATTTTCTGCCAACATGTTCAGTTTTCTTACAAATCCAGTGACCTCAATCCCCTGCAACTGCCATACGGCAGCCAATCAGATCGCTGCTTCACACATATGTGTGACCCATCTTGGTCAACCCACACAAAGGCACTTTAGTGTGTCAATGTAATAGCTTTTCCAAACTAAAGGAGATGTGTGTATTTCTAACATAATCATTCCACGTGCGCTATAAAATTCATCCCTTCCTGCACCAGGCGGAATGTTTTAAGTTTCCCATGGCCGGTACTGTTTTTAAGGCCCTCGCCTGCACCGATAGAGCCAAGTGTGGTGTTCACGTGAGAGAGAGGTGGCTGAACTGGCACTCGAAGTTAACTATGTATACAAACCTCAAGTTGTAATAACTGGGTGGTGTACTGTAATTACAGTGTAACTATTGTGTAATTAGACACATATAACCCTGCTGTTTTATCTTCAAGGTCCATAAAAAAGCAGCCAAAGCTGCGCAGCAGAAAAGTGAGTGTGCCTTCATAAGCGTGAGAGATATATGATACCCTTTCAGATAAGATAAGCGAAGATTGTTGGGGATTACGATTTAGACACATCTCTAATTACGTACAATACTAACAACACAGTAGTGACTAATTTCATTCACACATGAGTGAAGTCATGAAAGGATAATAACAGTATAGGGGTTGTCAATGTCAAATCTAATGCACAGTTTTTAAAAAGTGCAGCTACTGTAGATTAGCCTGCACCAATCTGGCAAATTTAAAATATATTACCAGGGTTTTACATGATTAGTTAACAGAAATTAAAATATTCAGAACTTCACTGTAACATCAGTGCAATTTTAATTTCTTGATAACAGAACATATAATTTTAAAATAGTAATACTGTAATGTGTCATTAAATGATGAAAACAGCTTCATTACAGTGATTTGTGTTCCCTTTGGACCTTTTCGCCTTTTAATTAATCTTCTCGCAGCCAGTGTCATGGGTTGAACTGTTACATGAAAAAAATATGATAAATTCAGTGACTTACTTTAATTTGAATAAAAATACTTCACATTTATTCTAGTGCTGTCAAATCGATTAATTGTGATTAATCGCATACAAAATAAAACCTTGTATATATATATATATATATATATATATATATATACACAGACAAATAAAACTACATATATGTATCTT